TACAGAGGGCCAAGCAGTAGAGAGAGCACTGAGCAGCTTGAGTTGGTCCTGTGTGTAGGCTTGATTTCCCTACACATCTGCACTTGCTAACTTGTACAGTTCTTTTGCCAAACTTTGCATGCAGGACTACCTGTCTCTTCTTCCATGTCTCCCCCAATAAACAACAAACATGTGAAATTATATTAGATGTGTATTCTCTACATGTCTTGATAAGCCACCTTAGCCTCTAACACAGGGAAAACTTGGCACCGGGCATAAGCCTTCATCTGCCACTCACTATTTCCAAGTGCTATGTGCTGAGGGAGGCTACAGGAACCCATCAGATGCCCTGCATCAGGGACATGGCCAAACCCTTGTCATTTATATTCCACCTGTAGTGGGGAAGGGAGGACCCACACTACTTTGTATTATATTTTGGAAGCCCAGCCCACATCATGGGGCACTGCTTTCCACTACAATCAGCACCTTTCACTTCCCAACTGTAGGCAATGGCAGGAGCTGTTCTGTGGGTGTACCATATCTCCCAGTGAGCCCAGTGTACAACAAAACAGCATACCAGTAATTAAGTTTAATTTGAACAGAGGGAATCAGGGGCAGGGATATAAAGAACTCAGTGATCAGAGACTGAACCTGCAAAAATTGCCAATGCCAACTATATTTCAAGTTGTCATGGCAGGGTATTGGGAAAAGTTTTCAATTAGCAATAATCGCATCTCGGATTAACCTAGTTGGCTATGATACTGCCACTGGGCAAAGCTGCAGTACCATTCAGGGGAAGGAGAGAAACAAAAGTAGTCAGTGCCATCAATGCAGCAGATTATGTCCCAGCGTCACCCATGTTCCTAGACATGAAGAAATATTTCCTGTATTCCCTGTATTCTCCTGGCAAACTGTAGACTCTAGTTGTGAGTGGGAGTATGCTGCCTATGCAGACTGGTAGACCTATCTGCATGGGGGTCCAAGTTGGGAGTTAAGCCTCCTTGCATAGGAAGACCACTCCGCTATTAAGCTCACAGAGGCAGCTCTTGTTGAAAGGAGCAGGATGACCCTGCCCCTGGGGAAACAGCATAGCAAGATGCCCATCACTCACCAGTATACCAAGATGTTATCTCATGAGAACTGCAACCCTAACCTTAGTGGTAAAAAATGCAGTCAAACCTTTGGGTTGGAACTGTGGTGTCTGCAGTGTGCTGTTAAGTGGTGGTGGGCACCATGTTGGCATTCTGGCCTGGGGTGTCACAGCAGATGGTGAGGATGGTAAAGCAGCTCACATGAGTGGGTTGGTTTGCACTGCCTTGTCAGAAAATGTTGGGTGGAACTGGGGATTGCTGTACCTTAGGTTGCTCTGTTTGTAGACAAAAGGAAGGCTTGTCAGGTCTAAATCCTGACATTTGTTAAGGGAACCTCTGAGCTGATTGTATGATGTTGGCTACAGTAACCTTCCTCATGAGCAGAAGGGAAGCCCAGGACCATGCTTGGTCCCTGATGTGTTCGGTGTATTGTGTATCTGCCAGGGAAACAATGGAAAAGAGAATGTGAACATCTCTTCCTGTGCTGTCTTGCCAACCTCAGTGTTCAGTCCGCAGGCCCACAGTGGCCCTCCTTCCACTGCCTTCTATGTGGTTGGTGTACAGGGAGGAATCCCTTAGCATGACTAAAATGTATGGTAAGAAGAAGTGATGTTTGGGGTGTGGCATAGAACATGGTCAGGGTTTCCCCAGACAGCAGTTGCCCACTGATGTATAAACTGGGAAAGCAACACATAACCATGTAGGAGGAGGCCAGGGGGCAGAATGCATACCAGCCAAGTGGTATTCCTTCAAATATGGTCTTCCACCAGCTACCCACCCTTACTTCATGGTACCATATAAATTGGTGTGTGACTGGTGGCCTCCCCTAATGCCCATGGAGAACCAGTAAAAGTCTATCTTTAGCCTTTTAAGATTCATTTGGATTTGATGTGATAACCATTCAAAGCTGTCCTTCCCAGATACACCCAAAGCGAAGCTACAGAACTATGGACGGCAAATAGTTGTTGCCACCCAATTTAGGACCAGCCACAGAAGGACCTTGATTTCCTTAGCCCACCATCACACTCCAGCTCTAAGAGCAATGCATGAGAGAAAAAGTGAGCAGGAAGTCTGTCGGCCTCTGTTGTAAACCCTTTTGAGCACATAAGAGATTGTGCAGTCAGTGGTATGGCTGGAGAGGAAAAGGAAAGCAGAGGATTCGTGGTCAATGAATAGTTTGCATTGATGATGTTGAGAAGGGCAGTGGGTTGTCGAGATGGCTGGTGTTAGGAAATAGCCCCACTGGATACCTGAGCATTAAATATAGAAGTATATGTCTCTATGTTTGTCTCTCTCTTAGTATTATGTGGTATGTATGTATAAACAGAAAGAAGTGGATATATCAGTGGACGGGGAGTGACCACACAATGACATTTGAGTGGGAAAAAAAGGAGTTGGCATGCTGACTGGGCATTGGAACATATTGGCATTTCATGCAGTTTATGCACACAACATAAACATGTACAAAAAAAAGAAACTGATTACACTGTGGAACATTTCAATCAAAATGTATATGCCTGTATAGAGGAATATTTGTTGAGTACTTGGTTACATGATAAAAGACAATGGTGTACCAACTCAAGAGTGGTGAGAGGTGATGGCATGGCAGCCCCCCCCACCTTTCTAATAAGGACACACCAACTGGGATCCTTATAGTGCTGCAGTGGATGACAGAAGAGACTCAGAGGCCAGACTTGGAACAAGTACACAATAAAGGCCCAATATGAAGCCTGCAAAATTGGCAGTGACACAGATTACCATCAGCACTGTCATGAGAGGTTGATATGTAGATCTTCCCTAAATTCAGTGGAACTTCTCCGTGTCTAGGATTGCAGCTGTAAAGTGATGCAGTTCTGGTTGGACTGGCCTCAATATTTGCCTCCCCCCCCCGAAGGAAAAGGCCATTGTACTTTACTTCTGGCATGTCACCTTGTTAGAAGAATTATTACTCTGATGACAAAGTCAAAATCGGGGAGGGGGAGAAGCATCTGCATTGGCTGATAAATGTATCAGTTTCCAAAGTGTGCAAAAACAATCCCCCCAATTATTGTAATAATATAATATGAAACGTTATAAGGGTTTTATACTGGAAACCATTGATCTCTTTCAAGATCACATAAATCCTGACAATTTTAGAAGGACCAGGTTTTACTCATTATTAATCATCATAATTTAGGAAAGGAGATCAACATTGAGGACATGATGGAAAATTACAGATAGATATGCTTTCTCATTTTTACTTAATTGATGAATGTTTTTCCCGTCTTCCCAATTTCAGGTTTGTTCTGGAGCTCCTAGACTCAACTATTCTCTAAAGCTCGAGTTGAATTGTTTCTCTATCTTAATTAAATCCAAATATTTAAAATAAAAGACTCAGCTCTTTTTTTTCCACAGATTTCTCATTCCATGGAAAGGATTCCCTCCCCCATCTTTAAAGTCCTACCCCTTCTTTACTCCAGAGAGACTAGTTGAAGGACTAGAGAAACAGAGAAGAAATATCAGTAATGCCATGTCTTCCATTTCAAATTGCTTTCCTCTTCACTACAGTGTTTATTGATTTTTTTTTTTTGCAATGTTAACTTCATCTCCCTTCCACCCTTCCCTTCCCAACCCCAGTACTAGATTAAAATCTGAAAGGTATTAAATTTGGCATGGAAGAAGATACAACCAGAAGGAAAAAGGGAGAGGATCCTACACACACATTCACATGCACACATATTGTTTGCAGGAAAGGTTCAGAATGATTTCCTGGAAAAATAAAGATCCATGGTAATAATATCTTCATTTTTTCCCCTCTCTTTTGTCTTCAAGGTGATGACACCTTATCATTTGGCAATCTTGATTGTCACTTTCCATAGCCTGTGCCTATTATAGTCAGCCAGAGAAGTGCAGACAAGGAGAGGGGAAGGAAGGGGGAAGATGGCACCAAAGTTTTATTTTTAATTTTAAAGTAGGATCTTGTGGTAATCAAAACACTGCACGGACCTTTTCAAGGAAGCAGAAGCATTTACTCCTCTGTGTTACAAGCTTTCTCCTTTTGTGTGTGTGTATATAGATATATATATGCGCATGCTAGGGGAAGAAATCAAACGACAAAGAGTCTTTATTTCCGGGAGAAGACTTCAAAATACGTGCCAGAAATGGACAATTTGAGTCCTTTTTCTCCCCTCACCCTCAAATGCAAGCTAAAAGAGGAGGGAGGGGGATTAAAATCAACCACGTGGTAGATCTGAGCTTTCCTTTTCCTTTTTATTTTTTCTAAGATACACTTTGCAACCTCCAGTTCCATTTGTGTTCTTTCACGCTGCTCAGGGAAAAAAAAAAAAAAAAAAGATTAAGCCTCTTCTAGATGGACGCATCTCAGGGATCAGCTTAGGGGACAACAAGGCGCATCTCTGGAGGCGCTCAAGCCGGGTGGTTGATTTTATTAGAACTTGCCAGGTCTGGTGGCAAGGACTCTGGTGACCCAGCAGCGTAGGCAAGGGGTTTTCTCTCAGCATCTCCAAGACTAACAAGGGTTGGAGTTTACAAGCAACAGCTTAGAATTGGGAAACCTCTCCAGGTCGCCTTTTTTGGGGTCTCCCACCTCAGGAAGCTGGGGAGTGCCTCAGAAATCAAATCCCAAGAGGACTCAAGTTTGTAACCACCTTCCCCTTCTCTCATCTTCTTCACCAACACCACCATCTCCACCACCTCCTCCTCCTCCACCATCACCATCTCTAGCTCTCTTTCCCCCTCCTCTTATTCTCTTGCCTTCACCCCCCTTTTTCTCTTCTTTCTCCCCCCTCCACGTTGTTGTTGTTAGAAAGCCTTCTTGCACCCCCTGGTGCTCTTGCGTTTTGTGTGGTAGGCAAGGAGATTGTCTTCTCTCTCTCCTTCTCTCGCTCCCTCTGGTTGCTCATTATTCAGAGAGAGACACACAGAAGGTTGAGGGAGAGCGAGAGAGAGAGAGAGAGAGCGAGAGAGACGGATATCTCAGGTCATCTGCAGCTGCAGCAAACCAGTAAGGGAGAGAGAGAGAGAGAGAGCGAGAGAGACGGATATCTCAGGTCATCTGCAGCTGCAGCAAACCAGTAAGGGAGAGAGAGAGAGAGAGAGGGAGAGGGGGGAAAAAGCAGGGAAAAAGATGGCGATTCTCCATTGCTGAGACCTGGCAAGGAGCACATGAGTCTAGCAAAAACAACTTCCACAACAATTGCAAGCAGGAGAAGGAGAGAAAGGAGAGCCGTGGAAAGCGACCAGCGCCAGCGCCAGGACCTTCCCGCTGTAAGTTCTCGCAATCAAAACCCAACGCGGGTCTAGCTGTGGGAAAGGGGAAGAAAAGCCTTCTCTGGCTGTCCCACCACCTTTGAAAAGATAGATCTCCTCTCCAAGCCCTGATCCATTCATTCCGACAAGCCAGGAGAAGAAGCAGAAGGAAGGGTGGTGGGGGGGGGGGACCCGAAGTAGTGGTGGGAAACGATGGTTTTGTTAGGGAGAAGAAGTCTCTTGTCTCGTAATGGGGGAGGAGGAGAGGAGGAGGAGAAGGAGGTGGTGGTGGTGGTGGTGGAAGAGCTGGTGGTGGGAGGAGGAGGAGGAGGAGGAAGGCAGTTAATTAATTTTTTGTTGTTCTTGCATTAAGGTGGGGGGGAGGGAGAGATAAGTGAGAGGAGCGGAGCTCAGAAGTGTGTGGGGGCAGTTGGGGGTTTGGATGTGGGGAAGTGATTGGATCACAGGCGGGAGAGGTGGGGAAAAAAAACCCCCAGAGCTCCGAGCTGACTCGACCCAGGCTAGCTGGTGACCTCTTTCTTTCTTTCTTTCTTTCTTTTTCTTTCTTTCTTTCTTTCTTTGCTTTCTCTTTCTCTCTGTTCCTCCACGTCTCCTTGCAAATCTGGTCCCTCTCTCAGGCAGGTATAGGGGGTCCCCCCCTCCCTAACACCGGTGTAGGTATATATGCGTGTGTATGTGTGTACACACAAGCTCCCGCCTTTCCTGAAGTTGATGTAGCGGGGGTCTTCCCTTTGGCTGCGGTTTCTGAAAGGGTTGGCTTGGAAGAGAACAGCGGTTAAGCTGGAGAGAAGCCATTACACAGTCCTGCTTCTTTCCTTTGAGAGACAGAGAGAAGGGGAGAGAAGAAAGAAGGGAAAAAAGGGGGGAGGACAGAGACCTTCACTTCTTGTTCAGTTCCCTGGTGTCTATGGCTTTCCAGAGAATGAGAAGCAGCTGAGCTTCCTCCCCCCATCTCCTTCATTCCCCCCTTTCTTTCTTTATCTCCTTGTCCTCCATTTGCAAGCTGTCTGCGTTGGTTCCAGTCCAGATTCCAAAATACAAAGCTACTTCTCTTTCGCACACACACGCGCACACACACAGTCTTTCTCTCTTCTCTTCTTTCTCTCTTGGAGAGACCCTCTTTCTTTCTTAGGCTTTGTAGTTTCTGCTGGGGGTCGGGGGTGGGGGAGGAATCTCCTCTTGGAGATCCTTGAGATCTGTTCTTTTTGCACCCTGGAGAAAGTTTTCTCCTCTTGGTTTTGGAGGGACCTTCTAGTAAAAGGGAGGGAGGAAGGTGGCGAGATATGGAGTTGCTTTCTGCTGTGGCTTTGTATGCATGGCTGTTTGTCTCATGAAGCTACTTGCATGCCTAAGAGGAAATGAATAGTTGGACAGAGGGCTGTGATCTGAGTCAGGTAAGCCATGTCATGTTCTCTAGCTCCACCAGAAAATGGAGGAGAGGGAGAGCAAGGACAGGCTTTTCCACCAGACAAAGCTGAGATGGGAAGTGCTCATGCAATTATGGATGTTTCTCCATTTTTTTTCTCTGAAGGTTTGTTGGCAAAGCCTGGCTTTGACAAGATTTTTCCTTCAGCGAGCAACGTTTTTTGATGTCTCTTCTCTTTCTGGCTCCAGGAAATGGATGATTTGAGGAAGTTTCATAGATTCTTTTCATAGAATCTCCAGAGACAGTCAGAGAAAGAGAGGGAGAAAGAAAGAGAAAGACCTGGCTTCTAAAAGGACGTGTTTTTTGCCCTGTCTTTTATAGTTTCATTTTGAAACTAAGCCTTCTTTCAGATTTTTTTTTTTTTTGGTTGAACTTCATGACATTCAAGTGCATAATTCAGTTGATCAAAGAGATGTTTTGATTTTTAAAGTAAAGGAATAGTTTAGTTTATCTGATGAGGCTGGCAGTGTTCTTCCTCAGTATGATATGAGAATCAATGTCAATCAAACCTCGAGATGGTCTTGCAGTGGTCATTCCAATTTGGGAAGCACAAAAGTAAGCTACCTTCTGCAACCATTATAATTTGGGCCTGCATATCTTATTAGAACTACTCCTGGTATCATTGTTGTTGCTGTTATTTTTTTTTTTTTTAATCTGAATAGGCCATTGTGAGTTTTCCTGAAATTTCATGAGGCACCTTATGGATTAATTTGTGATAAAAAGCAAACCCACAGTTCTGACCCTTATAGATGGTGACATTTCATGTGGATTTCCATTATGAGCCAACCATATTTGAATATATTTAAATCTGTTTGATTTCAATAAATCTGTATCCAGAACTAAATCCCATTGAGTTCTGTGGATCTAGGATTAACTTTTTTTACACTGAAATCTACAACATTTAAAATGTTTTTAATTTATCTAGACTATGAACTTAATTGATAAATAATTATGGGTTCCTAAGGTTTCCCAAAAAAAAAAAAAAAGTATGATGGCAGTTCAGGCAAAGCATGATGTTATCTCCCTCCATATCTGCTTCAAAGTTTTATTTGGACTACTTTTAAGGTCCGTGTGGATGAAAAATAGATAGAAGTATATGTAACATTTAACCTTATCTTTTAAATTCTCCAGAACTATGAGAACCCATGAGAATTTCCTTATGAGGTTAAATCACTCTTTCAAAAATCATTAAATTTCAACAGTGAAATATTAAAAGTAAGGTAACCAAAATGTTTGACATGTTTAAAGGAGTTTGGGTTTCCATAGTGAGCAGTAAAATTGGAAAGCCAAACCAGCTAATGTGGCTAGATAGATTTGTGTGCATGCCACTGAGAGCTGGAAGTCATGAGAAGGTAATAACTCTTCCACCTTGGATATATGTTAGTATAATTGTAGCTAAGATATTGACAAAACAATATTCTTAAAACTCATGTACAACTCTTGTTTATAAGTAGATAACTTTTGATCCTAGCTGTATGTTTCCTTCTCAAGCTTATGAGATACATGTTCACAGAGCCATCAGTGGAACAAAACACATTGTTGTGTGGAGATTACTTGAGCTTTATGCTATGATATGATGCTTTGGGTGGGCCCTTTCTGTTGATGCCCTTGAATTGACACCTGGGGTATAGGGGTCACCATAAGTGACATCATAGTTTATTGAAACAACTGTAGTATTTGGGTTCACACACTGGGCTAGGTCAAAAACAAATACATTGGAGTGAAACTGGGCCAGTTAATATATCTGTTCTTGATTTATTTAAGAAAATTGTAAGTCCTGTCTGATTTTTTTTTCTATGATGAATTTATTTATATACATCTACTTATAAGGAAAATTTACCCTTTTAATATTATACAAAATTACTTTTTGTCTCACTTTGAGGTAAAGATAAGTCAGACATCACTTAAAGGCATTCTTTGTAGACATTCAAGAAAATTGCTATAAAGAATGTAAAGGTCATTTGCATGAGAGATTTTAAATGAACCACCATTCATAGTTAAATGTTGAGTGTTCTTTAAAACAAGGAAAGAAAGGCTCAAGTTTCTTCTTAATAAAACAACTTAACTAAGACAACTTCTAGCAGAAACATAGCAGTTTTCTTTGCCTGCACAAGCAAATACTCCAATTGTACTCTCTATTAGGAAATTGTAAAATATTTAAGAGCTCTTAACTCTTGACTTAAATTGAGTAAATGCTTGTCTTCTTTGATGTCATGTGATCTGGCTGTTTCACCCATTTCCATTTTCATGATGTTGCAGCCACCAAGATAAACATGTGTGTGTGTGTGTGTATATGTATATATGTGTATATATATATATATAAATTTATCTCTTTTTTCAGTTTAATCATCAACCAGTTCATTGTAAATTTGGCCTTGGGTTGGTGATTGATCCCCTTTGATTTTTGGTTTTTGGTTCTGTCTTCCACTCAGCTGTATTTTTTCTTTACCGTATCTTATTTTCTTTCTAATTTTTTAATTGTAAGCAGCTCAGAGTAGGTGTAGAGTTGGGTGGCCTCAAAACTGAACTAATAAACATAGATGTGACAGTTTTTTTGTCCTCTGAAAAAGTGGAGATGTTATTCCATAAAAGATTATTCTATAGCAAAGAAGTCTATATAATGAGGAATTCGATATATAAATAATGAGTAATATAAAAATATTAACATGGATGAAAGTATAGCTTCTTGAAGTTTTACTTTTGTAAAGTACGGTAGGAGCAGTAGCAGCAATAAAAGGCCATTCCGAATATAGATGATTAATATAAATAATATTCTCTTTCTCTTTTGCTTTTGGAATCAAGTAATATAAAATATGGGAAATTCCCCCTTAAGTTGCAACCTCCTACAATAAACCTCTGTAGTTTCTCAACACCCCTCTCTGTTTTTCTTATCCTCAGTATAAGCAAGAAGAAGTAAGGAAATATTGCATATTTTATGTACTAGGGTCTAAATGATTGCTAAGATGGTGAAAATAAAGATTTGAGGGCAAGATAATAATGTGTGTTAGTATCCAGGTTAATGATTGCTAAGATGGTGAAAATAAAGATTTGAGGGCAAGATAATAATGTGTGTTAGTATCCAGGTTAATGATTGCTAAGATGGTGAAAATAAAGATTTGAGGGCAAGATAATAATGTGTGTTAGTATCCAGGTTAAAGAAGTGTTAAACGTTTGTTGTTGGTTCAGATTTTTGCAGGTTTTTGAAATGAAGGGAAAATGTATGGCAATTTGCTGAATTCTTTAAGAATTAACATAGTTGCTTCCTAATATCAATTCTTTATAATGACATCCAGGCATTACTAAACTAATTCATAATAAAATTTCATAATTTTATCCTCAGTTGGTATCATTTTAATTCAACTCTTGCCTTGATTTATTAAAGCATTTTGCATTACAGTACTTTCTCATTTGACATTCCAATATAGAAAAACAAGTTATGTTTTGAAAGCAGTTGAAGAGATGGAATCTTATGATGACCATTAATGATAAAATTTATCAGATACATTGGAATAATGTATAATATTATTCAATTATTCCTTTCTAGCACTTAAATGTAAACCATCAATACATT